TATGCATTACCTCCAATGATACCCAGAAGCGTATATTGGAGAAGTTGCGTGATATGTCGAGTGGATTGTATTATACATACATAAGGACAATTGAATCACATACTGTCATGAACCAGAAGTTCATTGATTCAAAGGTTTACATGCTTTGGCATGACCGTATGGGTCATCCAGGATCTACCATGATGCGTAGGATCATTACCAACTCTAATGGACATCCATTAGTGAGCAGACACATTGCTGCCTTAAATGATAACCCTTGCAAAGCTTGTTCTCAAGGGAAGTTGGTAATTAGACCATCTCAACTAAAGGTTGATGCTGAATCCCCATCATTTTTGCAAAGAATTCAAGGGGATATTTGTGGGCCTATTCAACCATCATGTGGACCATTTCGATATTTTATGGTTTTGGTTGATGCATCTACCCGATGGTCACATGTTTGTCTCTTGTCTACTCGGAATGTAGCCTTTGCGAGACTTCTTGCTTAAATAATTAAGTTACGAGCACAGTTCCCAGATTATCCCATTAAGTCAATCCGACTTGATAATGCTGGTGAATTTACGTCTCAAACCTTTGATGATTATTGCATGACATTGGGCATTGATGTTGAACACCCTGTTCCTCATGTCCATACTCAAAATGGTTTAGCAGAAGCATTGATCAAGCGGCTTCAGTTAATAGCTCGCACTCTGCTTATGAAAACCAAATTGTCAGTCTCTGCATGGGGACATGCCATCTTACATGCTGCATCATTGGTTCGATTGAGACCTATAGCCAACCATCAATACTCTTCAGTACAACTTGTGTTTGGACATCAGCCAAACATTTCCCATTTACGAGTTTTTGGTTGTGCTGTTTATGTGCCTATTGCACCGCTGCAACGCACTAAAATGGGACCTCAGCGTAGACTGGGAATTTACGTGGGTTTTGATTCACCATCTATCATTAGATATTTGGAACCCTTAACAAGTGATATGTTTACAGCTCGTTTTGCTGATTGTCACTTTGATGAGACAATTTTCCCGTCGTTAGGGGGAGAAAAGACCGTTCCAGAAGAACGGAAAAAGCTGACATTGGTTGTTCCCACCTTGTCTCATTTTGATCATCGCAGTATTCAATGTGAAAATGAAGTGAGAAGGATCGTTCATCTTCAAAGCATTGCCAATCAAATGCCAGATGCATTTAATGATGCTATGAAAGTGACAAAATCACATATACCAGCTGCAAATGCACCTGCAAGAATTGATGTCCCTGTTGGACAAAATAAAGTGGCAGCGAATGATTCATCTGGTGCACGCCTGAAGCGTGGTAGACCCCTAGGTTCAAAAGATTCAGCTCCTCGAAAGAGAAAGTCAAGGGCACAACTGAATCCAAATGAAGTCATTCAGGAAGAGAAAATGAATGATACATCCACAATTCATAATTCTGGACTTCCAGAAAAAGAAAATGTCCTTGATGAGACATCTGTCCCTAAAGAGACAAAAGTACATGAAAGCAAAGAGATCTCCATAAATTATGCATGTACAAATGAATTGTGGGATCGGAATGAAATAATCATTGATGATATGTTTGCATTTGCAGTAGCCACTGAAATCATCTTAAGTGATGATATTGAGCCCCGCTCTGTTGATGAATGCAAACAGAGACAGGATTGGCCTAAGTGGAAAGATGCAATCCAGGCAGAATCAAATTCCTTGGAAAAGGGGAATGTTTTTGGACCAGTAGTCCAAACCCCGCCTAGTGTAAACCTCGTGGGTTACAAATGGGTATTCACAAGGAAACGCAATGAGAAAAACGAGATCGCAAGATACAAAGCACGACTCGTTGCACAAGGTTTTTCTCAAATACCTGGAATTGATTATGAGGAGACACTCTCCTGTAATGGACGCAATTACGTTCCGTTACTTAATAAGTTTAGTGGTTTCAGAAAGACTTGACATGCGACTTATGGATGTCATCACTGCGTATCTATATGGAGAATTAGATACTGACATCTATATGAAAGTCTCAGAAGGACTTAAGTTGCCTGAAACAAGTAATAAACCACGAGGTATGCTCTCGATCAAATTGAGGCGATCATTGTATGGTCTGAAGCAATCTGGACGAATGTGGTATAATCGTCTCAGTGAGTATTTAATCAAAGAAGGGTATATCAACAATGTTATTTGCCCTTGTGTGTTCATTAAGAAATCCAATTCTGGATTCGCTATAGTGGCAGTATATGTTGATGATATAAATCTAGTTAGGACTCCTGAAGAGCTCAATAAAACTGCTGAATATCTGAAAAGCGAATTTGAAATGAAAGACCTTGGGAAAACAAAATATTGTCTCGGCCTGCAGATCGAGCATTGTGCTAGTGGAATTTTGGTCCACCAATCAGCTTACATTGAAAAAATTCTGAAGCGATTTGGTATGGACAAGGCTTATCCACTAAGCACGCCAATGGTCGTTCGTTCTTTGGACATTAAGAAAGATCCATTTCGTCCAAAAGAAGATGATGAACTGGTCCTTGGTCCAGAAGTACCATATCTGAGTGCAGTAGGTGCTTTGTTGTATTTAGCACAATGTACTAGACCAGATATAGCCTTTTCAGTTAATTTGTTAGCAAGGTATAGCTCTGCTCCAACAATTCGCCATTGGAAGGGTATCAAAGATGTATTGCGATACCTTCGTGGGACAACAGACATGGGTCTCTTCTACTCAAAGAACTCCACAGATGACCAGGTCCTCGTTGGATATGCAGATGCTGGCTTCCTCTCTGATCCGCATAAAGCCCGCTCACAAACCGGATATGTGTTTAAGAATGGAGATACAGCAATCTCATGGCGCTCAACCAAGCAAACATTAGTTGCTACATCTTCAAATCATTCAGAAATACTTGCTTTACATGAAGCAAGTCGTGAATGTTCTTGGTTAAGATCAATGATCCATCATATCCGGAATTCATGTGGTCTAACTTCGAAGACAGACAACCTAACTGTCATCCATGAAGATAATGCAGCCTGTATTGCCCAAATGAAAGAAGGATTCATCAAGGGCGATAAGACTAAACACATATCTCCAAAGTTTTTCAGTGCACATGAGTTTTAGAAGGCTAAAGTTATTGAAGTTAGACAAATCCGTTCAAATGAAAATCTGGCAGATTTGTTCACCAAATCTTTACCAAAGTGCACATTTCAGAAGTTAGTGCAAGGCATCGGATTACGTCGACTTACCAAACAGCTAAATTTGGAGAATGCGGAATCAGGGGGAGATACATATGAGGAGGAGTATCCATGATACATGCTTGTTGTACTCTTTTTCCTTCGATTAGGATTTTTCCCACTGGGTTTTTCCTATCAAGGTTTTAACGAGGCAACATAAGCATACTTGACACTATATCAACGATCCAGGAAAAGTTGTACTCTTTTTCCTTCGCTATGGTTTTTTCCCACTGGGTTTTTCCAAGCAAGGTTTTAACGAGGCAACTCATGTTGATATGTGGGCATCCAAGGGGGAGTGTTGAAAAGTCTGATGTCTGATGGCAATGAATGCCCACAAAGCAAAAGTCTTCTGCATGGGCAAAGTTTTCAATGCCCATGCAAAGTGAAATTGGAAAGTGAATTGTAATGTCAGAGGATGCGTTTTAAATTTCAAGATGCATTAACTGCATCAGTTTGGAGTTGCTCTATAAATAGAGCACTCCGCATGTAACAGAAAGTTGAAGTAGAAGAAATAAAACAAGAGAGAAATATCAGTAACATCATCTATTTCTCTACCTTTTTATTTGTTATCTGCCTGTGCTATAATTTTAGTGTGTCTTTTTACATCTACCTTGCACCTACCACTTAAAAGGTTATCTCTCAAACTTTAATCCTTTTATAACAATATATATATATTTTTTTTCAGTCTCTTTACTTATAACATGTAAGGTTTGAGTTTATATACATACATATATATGGGAGTTTGTCCAACCGAAAAAAAAAAAGAAAGGACGGAGAGACTGACGACTTTGGTAATGACAATAATGGCATCAAATCGATGTGATGATTTGATAATATGTAAATGGTCCGTTTGCTACAGAAGCCATAGCTGCTTCCTGTCCATACATAATAGATTATGCATAATAATATACAGGTATAATATATATATATATATATATATATATTCACTCTCTTTACTTATAACATATAAGGTTGAGTTTATATATATATGGGAGTTTGTCCAAATAAAAAAAAAAAAAAATATATATATATATATATATATATATATAAATCACCCACATAGTGGGGCTGTGACGGGGTAATAAATTTATTATTTTGCTAAATATATTTTCATAAAAAACAATAATAACTAAAACAAGTAAAATTTTTAAAACAAAATAATAAGATTATAACTAATATTTTATCAGACAAAAAAATAAATAGTAAAATAAAAAAACCAAAATATCTCACGCGTAAGTATATGATAAAAGACTAATCATTATATATTACTGCATAACAACTTTTTACAATATAGTTAACTACACTTTTAAAAAGCAGTCACGATATATCAACAACTATAAACTTATCTACAGTACTCAAGAGTATGCAATCCAATAACTTATAGTTGGATTAAATCTAAAGGTTCTAAGTGGTGAAATATTCAATGCTCCGGAGTATTATAGCCACACTCCTAAAATTGAAGTATCAACGATATATCAATAAGATATTTTTCAATTCATTTGATGATTGAAAATTAAGAGAGGTGAAAAATATAAAATGAGTATGTGTATAACACTACTCTTAAAATAACGCAGTTAACCACACCGTACAAAGTTCACTACATTAAGATCCTATGAGGCTATGAATGATCACTTTATACGAGTAAATTTGTATGAAAATGTATAACCGTATATGAATATGAAAAGGACAATATAGTACTGCCAAGCAAAAGTATTACTGATCCCTGCAGAGATGGTGAAATTAGATTGCCACCCGCTCACTAATTTTATCACACATTCACTCGCAGTCTAAATACTACTAGCTTTTGTTGTGCCCATATATATATATATATATATAAGCACAAGCACTATACATATCCGTCAGAAGCCACCACACGTTCATTAGACTTCCAACAAGAGCTCTCTCTCTCTCTCTCTCACTCTCGTGCTTTCCTGCTTCGCAAGAGCTGCAAAAATGGAAGGTGGGAATGAGTATAAGAAAGGTCTTTGGACAGTGGAGGAGGACAGAATTCTGACGGATTACATCAGGGTGCACGGCAAAGGCAAGTGGAATCGTGTCAATAAAGTCTCAGGTAATTAATTACCACATAATATATAATCATTTGTGTAATTAAGTTCATAACACAAACATGGAAGAGGATCCTCTCTTGAGCTCAGGATGAGATTCTCCTGATTAGCTCATTCGGACTGTTCAAATTTAATTCAAGGTTGATTTTTAGAAGATCCTGTTTGGAGCTGTTGGATTAAATTTGAATAGTTTAGATGGGCTGGTTAGGAAGATCCTCATCCTGAGCTCAGGAGAGGATCCTCTTCCCACGAACATGTTTGGAGTCGTTGGATTAAATTTGAAAAGTTTAGATGGGCTGGTCAGGAGGATCCTCATCCTGAGGTCAGGAGTGGATCCTCTTCCCACAAACATATATATAAATTAATGCATGTTTAACTTTGCATTAGGATTGAAGAGAAGCGGCAAAAGTTGCAGATTAAGGTGGATGAATTATCTAAGTCCCAGCGTGAAGAGAAGTGACTTCTCGGAGGAAGAAGATGATCTCATCATTCGACTCCATAACCTCCTTGGCAACAGGTTCGCCCATAACCTAGCTCTTTCTTCAAAATAATTTAGGAAACAAAATAATCTTGAAAAATTTTCAAAATAAACGAGTCTACCGGTAGACACAATGGTGTTTTTACCGGTAGGATGGAAGAAGAAACTTGTAATTGAAGTCCAAGCAGAAACAATTAATACGTAGTAATTAAGCATATCAACTTTAAATATGCGAAAGGTTGGTGAGAATCTATGATTTCTGCATGATTAACTTGCTTCTTCAATTTTCCTGCAAAAGTTTTACTATAACTGGAATAATGATATTCTTACCCTATTTTTGTACTATAATTGTATACCATATTAGGTGGTGTTTGATGTGGACAACCACATGATTTAAATTAATTAGCATTTAATTTCAAAATGTTAATAATTAATAAAAAGATTGTTAATTAGATGATGATTGTGGTATACGAAGGATCTTCTTCTACCACTTAAGATTATTTAATTGTTTTAATTAATAAAAATATTGAAATTAAATGATGTAACTTATCCAATTCATCTGTCATCTAAAATAATAAAGAAATATGGTATAAAATTATAGTAAGAATATCGTTACTCCTATAACTGTTGAATGTTTATTAGTAATCACTGTGTTGAATATTCCACCTTTCTTGGCGTTCCATTGTGGATCCCAAGTCCCAACAAATAATACTGGGAAGTGTCCACTGCAATTAATTTTTCACCATTATTTTCTGCATTTTGTATATTTCTTGCAAGCATGCCAATTAACCCACAAAAAACCAAAAAGAAAAAACTTTACTTAAGAATTGAACCGAAAATACTAAACAGGCAATAAGTCGTATATAAATCATAGTTTAATGTCTTTTTATAATCTGCTTAGTGTTCCTCCAATTTTGTATATAGTTTCCAAGTTGATATTCGATCTTGGATGATTATTTCTTGTCTAATTAGGTGGTCTTTGATTGCTGGGCGTGTTCCTGGGAGAACTGATAATCAAGTCAAGAACCATTGGAACAGTCATTTGAGCAAGAAGCTCGGTGTCAGTTCAAAAAGAGGAAAGCCAAAAGCCAAGACTTATTCCGACTCAAAACGAGCAAAAAATAATTTCTGCACGCCCTCATCAGAGTCAAACTCCAAGCTGCAACCACTTCCCAATTCCGAATCCAATTCCAAAATTTTCGGTGACCATGAAGCTGCAGCTGCCATTGATGGATTTGATGATGAGATGATGAACATCCAGGACCACAGTTTCTCTAAAAGTAAGGTTGGTTTTAGTGGCATGTGGGAGGCGGTGAGTAATGAAAAATTTTGGTTTCATAATGATGACCTTAATCTATATAGCCCTTATTTACGGGACCCTACTCTGGATGATCACTACCCTTTTCAATTTGATAATTTGTAAACTTTGTTATTATATTTTGTATGTCTTAATTCTGTATTTACACTAATTCAATATCTAAATTATATTTTGTTAAATAGTTATGAAATACCAGTTACTGTGAAAATGTTTGATGATCTGAAGATTTCCATCGGCAAAATCTCATTAAAATGGGTATTGCTAAAGAGCATGTCTATTTAAACTAAATTTTATAATAATGATTAAATTATTATTTAAATAATTAATGTAGTAATTTTTTATTGATGACGTACCTCATATTTTATAAATTTAGTTTAAAAAAGAGACGATCATTCACATCAGGACAAGTCGACAAAACTAAATGATAGTCACTGAGAGTCAGAGTCCAGCAGAAGTTTCCAGTGGGGCATTAGGTTCTGTTACAATCAGTGTTCACGTTTTTGATATGTGGTCTTTTTTTTTTTTTTTTTTTTTTTTTTGGAAAACTGACATGTGGTCTTTCTCTAGCAACTTGTACATAAAACTATACGCATTACATTAGTCCTGTCGTTTGATTAAGTGCTTCCATTTTTAAGCTTGACCAATAAATGTATACAAATATTAAAGGTTAAGGTTAACTGCATTCTTGACGACATATCAATAACTATATATATTGATAATTTTAAAGTTGAATTATCAACATATTCGCATTTATAAAAATTAAAATTAGAACTGCATTATAACAACAATGCAATATGTACACGAAAGATTGCCCATGTGATAATTACTATAGAGTCATAAACATGATGTCTCTAGTTATATGCAAGAATCTCTTAAACAGCTAGACAAATCATGTAATAATTGTATCCATATCATACCAAAAATTTACCTTTATATATATATATATATATATATATTTGCATTAATTGGGAAGTAAATTAATTTGTTCCAACCATTACAAAAAATTATACTAAATCCGTATTATATATTTTGAATCATATAACACTTCTCTAACTTGTAGGTAAATTATTTTTCATGTATTGTTACATATATTAGGCATGTTTTATTATTGTAAAAATATAGATATGACATAATATTTTTCAATATAATACATCAAATTATATTTCTTCTTGTTATGAGTAAATTATTCTCCATGTATTAGTGAAAAAAATATATTATATTACACATGGGGTATAATTTTTTGTAGGTAGGTAAATGAATTTGTTCCAAATATACATAAAAAAAATATATATATCTATATATATAATACACACACACACACACACACACAACACCTAGATTATATATATATATATATATAGTTTTTTTATTATTTTATTATTTTTTGAGAAAACCTAGATTATATGTTTTGAGTCAAATAACATTTTTGTATACAAGGTAGATTATATTATTTTTCATGTATTATTACATATATTTGTCACATCCCCGTCCGGGCGGGACTACTTCCAGGCCCCGACTCCACCGTAGCACGATATTGTCGGCTTTGGGTCCAGACCACGCCCTCACGGTTTTATTTCTAGGAACTCACACGAGAACTTCCCAGTGGGTCACCCATCCTGGGTTGCTCTCGCGTGCTACTAGCTTGACTTCGGAGTTCCCATGGAACCCGAAGCCAGTGAGCTCCCAAAAGGCCTCGTACTAGGTAGAGATGAGAATATACATATAAGGATCACTCCCCTGGGCGATGTGGGATGTCACAATCCACCCCCCTTAGGGGCCCGACGTCCTCGTCGGCACACACGTGGCCAGGGTTAGGCTCTGATACCAAATTGTCACATCCTGGCCTGGGCGGGACCACTTCTCGGGCCCGACTCCACCGTAGCACGATATTGTCCTCTCTGGGCCCCAACCACACCCTCACGGTTTTGTTTCTGAAAACTCACACGAGAACTTCCCAGTGGGTCACCCATCATGGGTTGCTCTCGCGCGCTACTCGCTTAACTTCGGAGTTCCTATGGAACCCGAAACCAGTGAGCTCCCAAAAGACCTCATGCTAGGTAGAGATGAGAATATACATATAAGGATCGCTCCCCTGGGTGATGTGGGATGTCACAATATTAGCCTACTAGGGGTGTTTTTTGGTAAAAATATATAAAGTAATATGTATATGATTGTTTGTAGGTAAAAGATAAAATCAAAAGCATGATCCAATTCCTAAGTTTATGCAATAGTTTGTTGTTGGTATACAATATTTTGCATAATTAGAAATGAACTTCAAATAGTAGGTAGGTAAATTAATATGGTCTAATTATATAAATACACACACACATATACACATACCCACATTTTGAATCAAATAACATTTTTGTACATGGTAGGTAAATTACTTTTATTTTTATTTTTTTATGTATTATTACATATAGTAGAACTCGTGCATCTCTTAAGTCATCATCTGGGGAATCTCAACACTGAAAAAGCTCTATTGCAAAAAGCCGATTGAAAAACGCTGTCATAATTTGCAGTATGCTGTAAAATAGGATTAATTGGCACACGCTACAAATGATTAGCGAAATGCAGAGATATATGGCACCTGCATGCCTTTCAAGCCTCCCAAAGCTGCAACGAATATGTATATAGGGAAAGCGAGTAGGGTTTGTAATCGAATCTCTGTACTCCCCTCCCTTACCAACTAGTCACGACTCACAAGTCACAGCACAAGGTGCATCATGGATGCAAAGACTTTGCTAGCTAACTAGTTCTAAACAAAAATATTCTATTTATTCGAAATTGGTGCAACTTTGATGCATATATATTATATATTCATGGGAATACCTGAAGAACATGTTTACTCAACATAAATGAGGAAGGAACCGAAGGGTCTAGAAAAAGAAGAAGTACCAATTAGGTTCTCTTTTTAAGATGAAACTCACACTTTCCGAAAAGTTAAGAATTAAAATGATTTTTCTACTCATTTTCAATAAATGTTAGATCCCACATTGTCTATGGAAGATGATCATCAACGCCTTATATGTACACACCCACTTCTATATAGCACGAGGTCTTTTGGGAGCTCACTGGTTTCGGGTTCCATCGGAACTTCGAAGTTAAGTGAGTTTGCGCGAGAGCAATCTCAAGATAGGTGACCTACTGGGAAGTTCTCTTGTGAGTGAGTTCCCAGAAACAAAACTGTGAGGGCGTGGTCAAGGCCCAAAGCAGACAATATCGTGCTACGGTGGAGTCGAGCCCGGGTCGGGATGTGATAATTTGGTATTAGAGTCAATTCCTGGCCGGAAGTGTGCCGATGAGGTCGTCGGGCTCCTAAGGGGGTGGATTGTTAGATCCCACATCACCTAGGGAAGAGAATCCTCTATGCCTTATATGTACATGTCCACCTCCATATAGCATGAGGTCTTTTGGGAGTTTACTTGCTTCAGGTTCCATCCGAACTCCGAAGTTAAGCGAGTTTGCACGAGAGTAATCCCAAGATGAGTGACCCATTGGAAAGTTCTCTTATGAGTTCACAGAAACAAAACCGTGACGGCGTGGTCGGAGTCCAAAACGAACAATATTGTGCTACGATGGAATCGAGCCCAGTATATGATGGAGCTCGGATTAGGATGTGACAATAAACCCAGAAAACTCAAAAATTAAGATGATTCCAAATTCCAATTCTAACATATAAGTAAACATTCAGAAGTATCTTGTTTGGCTGGTTCTTAATTGATAATTAACTCGAGTTTCCAAAAAAAAAAAAAAATTGATAATTAACTCGTGGTATGGGTTTCGACAGAGATATGGGTTTTAGTCGAATGTTTAGTGGCATTACAACAAGACGTGTGACATGCTCCATGATGCAAACAAGGATTCTAGCTCCAAGCAGTCCATGCCAACCGTTAAGTCTCAATGTTTTTCGTGTTTAATATTGTCTGTTTGCAAATTGAAGGACCCACAAAGTAGAATTCTCTCTCATCTGAATCCCCGGGTCCCCACTTCTTATACTTTTCTTTTTGTTTTTAACTCTCTATAAAAATATCAATATAAAATGCTAACGTAGTTTGATCATAAATGTTTAAATGGGAGGAAAAGAAATGAAATAGAGATTAGGATGAAAGATAATCTTACTTTTTAAGGGCGCAGGCAACTACTGGAAATCAAGGTAACACTGTCACAAAAACCTGATATTTTTTATTTGACCTGAGTTTGTCAATTGTTTGTATAACTTTGGTTGTATATTTTCTTGTAGCAGATGGACATGTGAACACATCGTCAAATGTTCAGGCACCAAATACAACTCAAACTTTGCAGCCTTCTCCCACTAAAGCAATTTCCCCCGTAGGTACATTAACTGGGGTATAGATTCCGCTGGTCTGATACATTGTCAATTTTTTGTCCCCATTCATATTTTAGGGTTTTAGGGGAACCCTACTAAAGGTCCCCTCTCGGAAAATAGCTGTTGGATGGGTTTGAATTGCCATCCCCACAACATGTAAATAATTGATCTTTTGATGATGTAAAAAGTTGCTTTCCTTTTGCCTACTTGAAAGTTGGAAGTCACTTCGATTTCAACAACAAAATCATTGGATTGAAAAATAGTACTTAGTATAAATTTGTCTTGTATACATTGTATTCACTTTCTAAAGAAGGTTTGTTTTTAGAATCTAATTTGTATCTAGGAATATTTCTTGATTCTTCTTCCTTAATTATTTATTGCTTTCATGCATCTTTAACGAAACCTTGTACTTATGATAATTCAATCGAATGAGTTAGTAATTGATTTATCTAAACCTAGTAGAGAACGATAAACTCATCAGTATAACAAGTACACTGCACATGCATTATGAGTATCAATTTGTAAGTACGAAAATCCTTTGTCGAAAAAGAAGTGATATTGTGGCTATATTTATAGTATAACTTGGGCATCTCTTGAGTAAATCATCTGTGGAATCTAAACGCAGAAAAAGCTCTATTGCAAAACGCCGATGAACAAGCTGGAAAGCACTAGCTCGTCACCTTTAAGCCTTCACTTCATCACTAATCTATATGTATCATGATCGTGTGGTCCAAAAAATCCAAATTCTCATGTTTTTAAGATTTTATCAAAAGTTAAAAAACTCTACCCATAATCTGCAGTGTATGGTGAAAGAAGTATTAATTGGCACAAGCTGCAAATGAT